GCTCTGCCTTAGTACTCCAGGCATCCCATACGCTATAACTGCACGACTAGTTGTCTTATTATAAACATAAAAAGCTATTAGGTAGACAGTCCATTATGACCTTCAGGCGTTACCAACTTCACCATCCAGAGGGCGACATTGGAACGTGGCCCAGCGCGCATTGAAGGCGCATTCCATGTTACAAAGATAAATCTTACGAACTTCGTTATACGTATAGGTGTCTTAGAATTATGCGTAATCGGGATCTTCATAAGGCACACACTCGGATATAGTTTCTCTTTTTAACCCCTTTGTTAGGAGTTAGTATGCCAACCCTCCCCAACAGGTTGAGTGGCTAAATACACCGCTAATCTGTTCATGACGTATATTATGGGTATTCTGGCATGAACGTAATGAGTTATTTCTATTCCTTCAATTTTATGTTTCAATATTGAATCTGAAGACTTCCATCTTGACTGCAAGTATTACACTGAAGGGCATGCTTGGATGTTACGCCCGCGTTACTAGTGCGATGGTTACAAACTCTTAGCACTACCTTGCAGCAAGAGGGTTTACAGAAACCAGCTTATAAGCTTCACAACGTAGAGTAACAAATCATTTACCACAGACTTGGATGATCACTTGAAACGCCGCCATTTACCTTTAATTCGAAGGACCTAATTATTTCGACTTACGCATAGCAAGCATAGGTCTAACTGGGATTACTACTATTGTAACTTATTTGAATAAATTCGCTCTAAAGCAAAGACTCAGTTAATGCTATCAGTGAAAATATATAAGCGTACGAACTCCTAGTAGTTAGGTTCGTCAAGTAGCTAGTTAAAATGCAATGTAACTTGTAAGCTTTGTATGTTAAACATGTATCGTCTTGTTCCATACCTGTAGGTGCCTAGGTTAGGTAGTTACTGTTCGTGAATATAGACTACATCCAGGGCAAAGCCATAACGAGGGCTGATGTTATGTACCTAATAACCTCCTTGGCGAATTAATAACAATAATTAGATATCTTTACTGTCGATCTGTTTATTCTGATATATACAATTATACACGGTCTGCCAATGCTTGAGATATCTACTATACCGACACGTTTAGATTCATATCAATTCATAAACATTACAAATAGAGAATGATGTCTACCTCTTCTGAATTGAAAGAATGAATATAATAATTTCGCGTTATAAACAGGTAATTGAATTCCAAACCTTGTAATGGAAACTCAACTAACCAGTATACTGGTCTCCCCCTAGACTACCTAGTATTGTTACTCGTTACATAAACTATACCCCCAACTACTCCTCAGCTATGAGATGCCTGGAAATATAGGGGACTTAGTGTTCTCGATGACATATCCTAAACTACCTGTAATACATATCTTATGGGCTCTCCTAGTGGCTTATCCTGAGAACCGTTTTAGAAATAGGGGTGCCAGACTTCGTTAGCAATTCCTATCGAGGTGGAGTTAGCTTGGTCCAGACGTAACCTGCTCAACTACCAACGCGTACTCTTTCCCGACCAATCTGCAACCAATCAAGCTAGAGAACTCATATTCGGATGAGCGCCCTTCCTTCGGGTCATAACTATCCCGTATCTAATTTAGCATAGCCCTGGGCTTCCCTGTTCGCATGTTGATCATGACATGATTTCCTAGCCGCATAGTCATCTGATTACCGTCGGCCAACCGGTAGGCCGGGTAGTGACCGAATTAGGTGAAGTAAGAGAATGATTCGGGAAAATTATTTGATTGCAACTACACGTTCTAGGCCACGTAAACCCTGTACAGTTGACGGCATTTAGCAGTCCTGTGTCTCCCGGGGAGGCCTATGGGGGGCTAGATCGAGATGATCTGTCGCGGCTTGGTCCTTCGGAGGCTCTCAGCTTAGATAGTTGCTAAGTTTGTCCATATCTTACGGCCGAGCAGGAGGCAGGCGATGTCCTGGTAAATAGTCGTTAGGCACCGAAACCTACATATCTACTAGTAATCTAGCAATCTAGCCCAACTACCTGGAAGGACCGATAGGGCACCACAATTGAAACGGTTTGAAACGCGTCGAAGTCCTACCGCATTACTGGAATTCGTAAAGGGGGAAGTCTGAGAGGCCCGGCAGGGACCAGTTCGAGTATCACGACACCATCGGGCATGACGAAACAAAACGAAATCGTTGTACTACCTGAAGTTTAGAAGAGTTCCGGGTTCTCCGTCATACACGAATTATTTGTTGGTAGCAGATGTATACATGACCCATCCAGTTCAATGGCAACATGCCTGCTCATCCTATACCAAAATCGGACCCTAGACTCCAGTAGTGAGGAGTGAGGCGTTGATCGAAGCCCGGGAATGCGGTTAATCTTGACTATGAAATGTTCTCTACATAATTTCCAAGTATCTGCTTGTTCTTAGCCCCCTATAATCAATATACACCATCTGTAAGTGCGCTGAACACCGCAAAATGCACCTTTCGTTTTAGACTTTGTACCTCCTTGGCAACTTCTCCAGGTTCCGGGGTGATCCCGACTTGTCTTCACCCCGCCTAACGATAGCCCAACGAAGTACATTAGTTGTGAAAACCCAAAATACTTAATGTATGTTTAACCTTTAGGCTTGACCATGCATTAGTTTTTGACCCAGATCCTCAGGCTCGGTTCCGGTCCAAAATATAGAACATTCCAGCTGATTTTCCGTTATAGGTTTCATTTTCTAGTCCAGAGACATACCTGGAGATTTCTGAAAGTCCTACATAGTGGCAAATCACGTATTACTTTACTTTAGGTCCTTTGCGATAACTACGTTAAAACCCAGCAGCACCAATATACATACTTCTCCTGGTACACTGAGTTACTTTATAACATATATTCATACTCTGGCTTAGTTCCAATAACTCACTCATTTCAACCGTACTCAAGCAGCCATTTAAATAAATATCAAGCCATTAAGTAGTCAAGTCCTCATGAATATCACAATAAATGTTTGTATACAAAACCAAAGAAACTATCATATGATAGCCAGGCGCCATACAGTCTCGCTGAGGTACCAGAGTTAATATTCAATATACTTATTCTAAAAAAGTTGGTTCTGACTTTACGTGGTTTGCCGAAGAATAGGATGTACGTATCACAAATGACCCCGGACTTTTCTCCGCTGGCGTTTATGTGGATTGTGAATGTTTTCATCCTCTATCTATTGTGATACAGTGTCTTACATGTTAGAAACTTAACCGAATTAGGGGACGACCGCTTAAAACCATTGTAGATCATTTGTGGCTGGCATTTATACTTCATTGAAACAGATACGAGGTACTACGCACTTCGAGAACGGGATCATCAAAGTTATTATCAGAGATCATAATACTTAGGATAAACACCTAAAGGCCCCTTGAACAGTTGACTTGGATAGTTTGACTGCTTTACATGAAATAACGTCACGTTGGGTAAGACTACACATGTCCATACATACCTAGATATCTACCTAGGTACCTAAGGTAGGTATAACCACCGATGAGAGTCAGAAATGACATAGCAGAAAGATTCTCGATATGTTCATATCTCTTAGCTGTTACTCATGTTTTACTATCTCATAGCTGGCCCAAATCTCATAGAAGATTGTTAATAGCACGCCCTCTTAGTATAATAGCACAGACATGGATTCACAGTAGCCTGCGTTTTCTGAGCCAGATAAGAGAACTCCTGAAGTCTTGGCTAAAAGGCAGATCGACATGAATGTATAGATACACACCTAACTTAATATAAGTTGATATGGGAAATATGTTCAGTGGCATCCAAATTTCTCAGCTGTTAAGGGGCAAGGGCGTAGATTACGTAATCCAACCAAGTAAGTAGTAGTCCACGTAGAAGACTTCATAGCTTAGAAAGAGAGATGGGGATTGATGGGCTCTGTTAAATTAGGTGTCTATAAGATTGAACTATCTCTCTCGATTTAAAGTACGTTAGGTATTGTCTTATCATCAAACTAGTAACTCGTTATTTTGACTAGTTAGGGGAGGCATAAGAGTTTATAAGTGTTTAGAGCAAGGAACCTTTTTTGTTAAAGGTATCTATAATAATCTAGCAAAAGCCAACTTATCCATTGCCGAAATTAAAGTTAACAATACCCCATCGTGAATCATAACAAATAACGATGGCCCCCTTAGAAGATAGAAATAGAGATACGAAAAATAATCCGTTATCAATCCCAAAGACTGCTAGTTGAGTGTATATCTTACTTAGTAGTTCTTTGAATTTACCTCATAGTCATGATTCACTAGTATAGATGCTCAATAAGCCCTTTAAACTAAATCAGATACTGCTTAGGTACCTAGGTAGCTATTGCAGTTAGTTGTCCGAAGAGAAAACTTTTCTTTGCTCCATGAAAGTATAGCCTTAAGCTTTTATTATATACCAATTTAACATGCAGCTAAAAGTTACTCTCCTAGTTACCTAATTAATTATTACTATTACTACACCGATACGTTTCTCTTGCCGATACAGTGACCTTGACACTGCGCTTGCGCTGTAGCCCCCTTCTTGGCGAGCCTCAAGGCTATCTGCCACAAGCTTGCTACGGCTGTTCAATACCACTTACAAACCATGACAATCGTGTAGTCATTTTATGAACTTTGACTATTCCCGGTTGAGTAAATAATGGAAGATTGCTTAAGGTAAGCCCCCTATTTTGAAATTTAGGCTAGTGAGTTCCTTGGGACATGAATATAAATATTGTTTCTAATAGAAAATGAAGTGCTATGATGGTAGAATAGAATAGGGACGTACTATTGAGTAATAGACACTTACTGCTGACCCACCTATGTAGGTATGTATTAGATGCTTAGGAGGTAGACAACTAAGGCACTCAGGACAACCCCTGTTTTAAAAGATTTAAGAATATTTCGTGAAAGTCCTTGGACATTATGAGGATTAAACATGTTCTGGTATACATTTGATCTTATCAAGTTGCCAATAATAAGTACAATCAGATCAATGTTTAATTGTTGCCAAGTAATTACCTGGTTGATATTGGTAGAAGCATCGTGCCTAATAAAACCGTAGTCATTTACACATCATACCGCTACTTTTACGAATTTGTGAGTAATTATGGTTAGCATAGGTAGCTAAGGTACTAGAACTTTGAGTGCCATATGCAAGATATATTACAGATTAAAATGCTGCCCGAATCTTGCCCTCGCCCATCTCCTTCTTCATGAGTGGGCCGGTGCTACTGCCGCTTTGAAAGATCCGGTAGTAGTCTCCGCAAAGAAACCTGTCAAGGGTTTCGTGTTTAAGGAAGCAGAAGGGGTACAGCTGAGCGATAATGGCATCGATATTTTGCCTGGAGAGAAGTATGTTATTGACGAGAAGGATATCAAGGTTTTCCTTAATCTTTCTTATTTCCGAAAATCTATGGTGGATATATATCGGTGCGTTCTCAGGATTCCTTAAGATGGTCTAAAAGGCCCGTATCTCTAAACTACGGATCGAAAAAGTACGGGGGCTTTCCAAGCATCTTCTTTTCCATTCTTTCCGGCTTTTCCCAGTACCAAGCCGGCGAGGATGGTGTGATTTTACGTAGGTTGTCTTTTGCTGCTTTCCATGCGTCTTCGTCGACCGGAAGTTCTTCTCTTTTCGCCATTTGTTGCTGAAAATCGATGTACCGATCGTTGACCTCTGGCCAGTTTCTGGCAGACTGAACATCGGAATATCTATAATCTTCGGGTAATTTTCGCTCGTAGCGGTCCCGGAAGATATGATAATACGCCATAGCCTCGTAGGGCTCCCAACGCCACTTGTTGTCCGCTGTACAGGTAATTGGCAAAGGACAGCGGGAGGGGTCTGCAGTTGGGGAGAGTAAAAAGTCTACCAAATTCTCGAACTGGGTTTCTGTAGGAGGGAATATAGTGTAAGGACTGTTTCTCCTATCACTGTGCAAATACATCCCATCGCACTAGAGCACATTGCAGGTCAGAGAATGCCTCTGAGAGAAAGACTTGGCTTACTCACCTCCTCATCGGTCTCGCCGCGGTCAAATAATACCACGCCACCAAAAATGCGTGTTTCTGCCCAATATCCGACAACATCCGACACGGAGTTTGGGTACTGATCGTAGTCCCGATAGCAGTGGTTAAAGAATGGCGTGAGGGGTGGCACTTTCTTCAATTCCCAGGACATATCGGCCGGGATATCCTGTATCATGGCTGAGAGAGTACTCTGAGTGTTTGTGAGAGCCCTCATCAAGATTGTAGAGAAACACTGCGATTTGATGACTAGCAATTGCCAGAAGTTCCAATAATCGCAACTTGAAAGCAATCGAGCCTGATGTAGTGTTCTGATATGCTTGTATGGTCTGCTGTTGTTTAGCTACAGTGCTTCGAAACAAAGACAGCTACTTGCCTTTGACGGGAATTGTAAGGATAGTATCTCAAAGTCAGCACGGAATCTTCTTATCCTCTCTATAGTACCTTCGGAAAGCTGTGGTTGGCTTAGTATTGGAAGCCCTTCTAAATTCCATCTATGTGCCTCGGAGTAGACTTTTTGGGTAGGAAGGCCATCGATGATTAGTGCATATGTAAACTCAGCGACATCAGTTGCGAGCAGGTTCTCTAATGCTTGCCGGAAAGATTGTAAATGTTCTGGAGCCAGGTTCTCGAGGGATGCCATGGTGGTTCGGCGTCGTTGAAGATGAGCCTGCAGGTTTCGATGCGGGGTACGTTCTCCAGCAAAGTGAGAAAGGATTATCTAACTGGTGAACCGCAATGTATTAGGCTAGCAAGGGGTAATATATACAATATTATTTCCAGTTCACTCCGAACAGTTTGAAATTCCTTGTTCCTCCACCCGCGGGCTTAGAATCGGCATTCTCTAGGTAAATCCTCGAATGACCCTTGATGTCAATACAGAGGTACTTATATTCAAAGTCGTCGTGATTGGCATATTTTATCAGATGCATATTTACCACACCATTATTTAGCGGTCCTTCGACCTATGCGACGTCAGACTCGTTAAAGCTCATAGCTGACGAAACGAAGTAGACTTACATAAAAGTGCATGATTAGATGCTGGTTACCTTGTGCATCCGTATCAAACGTCGACCTATTATCATTAGCAAGGCAACAGACAAGTCTACTTAGGAAGCGTCATACGCGATTGGACGGGCACGGCGCCATTTATTCATAATCTCTTCGCCGTGTGCTACGATCTTGTTACTTTCGCCAAGCAGCCGTACACACTGTGGATCTTTCTTGATTCGGTCGACAGCTCGGCTGAAGTAGGCAGTTTTACTATTAGGGGAAAATACGTCTGTATAGAGGAAATAGCCAACACCTCCCTAATGAATAATGCTTTAGCATATTGATAAGTGATGCGATAGACGGGAGCTATACCGTCAAAACCAAACCAACTACGACAAGGCCGAAGTTGAAGGTTTGCTGCGTGGCACGCGACGCCTTCTCACCAACGGAGAGCTCGCTCCAAGGCACGAACCCATTGTCGTTGAATGGCGTCACAGCCCTCCTCTTCGAAGCAGATGAACTGGTTCCTTGGCTATGGTGAGTAGCGTAGGTGCGACAGGCAATAGAGGGTTGTAATCGTGGGATAATAACGGGAGAACCGAATGAACGGAGTGGGAGTTTCATTACGGCGATATTAAGTCCATCAGTGCTTGTGCTGTCGAAGGGGCTGCTTCTTGTAATGGTTTAAAGCTTTGCGACAGAGGAAGAAAAGCAATGAATGAATGGAGCTTCAAGATGGAAGTTAGTTGAAGCTTCTGCAAATGCGATGTAATGTGGGGAAGGCAGGGAAGACAGGGAAGGCTAGGTATACCGGTACCTCCGGACCCACCCTACTACCGTTGAACAGAGGAAATTCAGGGCTATGTATTCTAATTCTAGACTAGCCTAATTCTAGACTAGCTCCATTTTGTTTAATAGCATGTGGGTCCATTGGTCCATTGGCCCATTGGCCCATTCTTTTGAAGTTGGTATTTGGCGAAATCTGGCCGAACTCCTGATTTCAACGTTCAACGTTCAACGTCGGCTTCTCGACTTTCAAATAACATCGAACACCGACATCTTTCCCCTACGCCCCCCAACACCTCTATATCCTATACTGTGCATCCTGCCCGAACGGGGCTTAATCAGCAAGATGAGTGCGCTTGCAACTAAGCAGCAATCGCAGAAGATCTTCGAGAAGTTGAAGACCAAGTCAGCAAATAGGGTGCGTGATAATCCACTTATCGTCGCGATGAATACGTGTTTTCAATTACTAACGCGCACCCAAAGATATGCTTTGATTGCGGTCAGAATAACCCTACTTGGACCTCGGTCCCCTTTGGCATTTACTTATGTCTCGACTGTTCCTCGAACCACCGAAATCTCGGTGTCCATATCTCCTTTGTTCGCTCCACCAACCTTGATCGTACGTCGCTTTCACCAGTTTAGCCTCGAGCCCCGCTTCCTATGATTACACAGCGCTAATAACCTATACAGAGTGGCAATGGGATCAGTTACGTATTATGAAAGTTGGCGGTAACGAGTCCGCCACCAAGTACTTCCGCGCAAATGGCGGTAGCGCCGTACTCGCTAGCAAAGACCCAAAGACCAAGTACCAGTCTAGTGTCGCGACCAAGTACAAAGATGAGCTTAAGAAGCGAGCCGCGCGAGACGCGCTCGAGTACCCGGAAGAGGTCGTCGTCATTGACGTAGCTGGAGAAGGCACCGAGGGGAGTGCAACTCCTTCTAGTGAACCAAATGACGACTTCTTTTCGTCATGGGACAAGCCGTCCATCAAGAGGCCTACGCCACCTATCTCGCGAACTAATACGCCGCCCGTTGTCGGCCGTACTGCTTCCCCATTTCTCAACGCTGGTGCCAACGGCAAGGAGATTTCCAGGTCTTCGTCCCCTCTATCCAAGTCTGACTCCGCATCCGAAGCCAAACCTGCTGCCAGTCGAGTCACTACCTCTGCTGCGCTTCGCAAAACAAACCCCTCAGCGCCTCGCAAAGCTAACGTGCTGGGCGCAAAGAAGACCACTACCAAGCTTGGAGCAAAGAAGGTTACAGGAGATATCATCGACTTCGACGAGGCCGAGAAGAAGGCTAAGGAGGAGGCCGAGCGCATTGCGAAATTGGGCTACGATCCGGAAGCCGAAGAGGCAGAGTCGAAGCAGACCGCTACATCTAAGACCGAAGCTTCTAATGTCATCTCGCCCACACCAGTGACTCCTCGTGGATACGGGTCTGGTCACTCTCGCGAGAAGTCAGCAGCCGAGGTTGAGAGGTTAGGCATGGGCCTAGGAAGATTAGGCTTTGGACAGGTTGGAGGTGGCAAAGCCGCCGCCAGCGCCGCACCCAAGAAAAATGCCGGCGGATTCGGCTCAGTTGGACCGGTTAAAGCAACCACCGAAGGTATGTTCTATTATTTTCACAATTGTGCCCACTATTTAACAATATGTACTAAATCGTATATCAGATGACGACGAGCGCTACGCCCGTAACAAATTTGGTAACCAAAAGGGAATTTCCTCAGACGAATTCTTCGGGAAGGGTTCTTTCGATCCCAACGCCCAGGCCGAGGCAAAAACGCGTCTGCAAGGCTTCGAAGGTGCTACGGCTATTTCCTCCAACGCGTACTTTGGTCGACCCGAGGATGAAGATCCCGCGGATGACTACGGCGACCTCGAAACGGCCGCCAAGGATTTCGTCCGCAAATTTGGTATCACCGCTGGCGACGATCTAGATAACCTTACAAGCGCGCTAGGCGAAGGCGCTACCAGACTCCAGGGTGCTATCCGTAACTACTTGAACAGTTAAGCGATCTACCTAGGTAAGTAAATGCCAGTAGTTAGAAAAAGTAGTGGGAACTTCACATATCACAAGCGGGGAAAGAAAAAGCTGGGCTCGACCTCTACACTATCGACGGGGTTGGCGGGTCTTAGGAGGCATGGTGGTGTCGCTATCAAGCTGACGCTGAGACCTGTGGGAGATGGTCGATCGGATGGTAAAAGGGCTGTTATGAATACAAACGGCTTTGCCAGCCCACGACTTGGACGTTATAGAGCAATTGGCACGGTACGCATAGTAATGAAACTTGATTATCTACCTAACCTAGATTCTTAAGAGTCAAAATTTATAAATAAGCGACCTAATAAATGTTTTGTCTGGTTGTCTGATAACTCGGCTATCGACTTCTAACACGACTATGCTAAAGGTTCAAATGCTTAGGTTAGAATCTTGTATACTCATTTCTAGTCTAATCAACCTGGTAGTATAAGAATTCGTCGCCACTCTAGACAGGTAAAAAGTCGTAACCAGAAAAAAAAAACATTATCCCCATTACCAGATCCCCAACGTGATTAATTGATTGACATGATGATCTATACCAAGCCGCACCCGCTCTCGTTTTTTATTACCCTCGCGTCTCCGCAAGATAAATATCATATCCTTGAATTCATCTAGCCTACCCACCCATCTATACATCCATACTCTTTCTTTTCCTCCCCTTCGGGTTTTTTTCTCGGTATTTCGTCACGCTAATCAACTAGTAAAAGCCAGCCTGTCTTTAAATTCTTCGAACCTGTCGTCGACACGGACTCCGTTCCACGTTTCGCCGCCTTCTTTCCCGTCTTGGATCTTGCCTAGCGTTGGTGTGCCAACTTGCTCGATGGCAAAGCTAGCCGCGACGCTGCCCCATGCGGCTGCCTCTTCGAGGCTCTTCCCCCTTGCCAAGGCGACGGCTAGGGCGCCGAGGAAAGTATTGCCACCGCCGGTGGGGTCAACGACACGGTCGGGCGAGCCAGCGTGGTACGCGGGGAGCCAACGCTCGACACCTGGGTCGACTTCAATCTCCTCGCGGGAGACCATGCCCTCAGGGTCCTGCAGGAGCCCCGCGAAGAGCGCCTCCATATCCGTGTCCGGCTGTAAGCCACCATGTAATAAGGCGGATGGCTTCTTGCGTTTCGGCTGCTTGCCGGGTACTTTGCGCTTTCGCCCACCATTCCGCGCTAGGTAACAGCCCTTCTCGCCGGCGCGGACCACGATGGCGAAGGACTGCAGCGGCATAGAACCTAATAGCTGCTCACAGGCCCGCTCGATGGCTTTCGTGCTGATCTCACCCGTGTCCGGGTCTAACCCTGAGTCGCCCATGAAGCCGGCCAGCTCGGAATGGTTTGGGCTAATAATGTCGATAAGAGGGAGAGTATTAGTACAGTTCAGCAGCTCATCCGGCGTACACAGATCCGGTACGGGCTCCCAGATGAAGATGGGCCTAGGTAATGGGCCACCGTCTGCGCTGGTCAGACCACTCCGCCTAGCGCGGATCTCGGACACCAGCTCACGGCACCGGGTCGGCGAGCAGATGAGGTGAAAGGAGCGGGATGCGAGTAGAGTTGGGGTTAGATCCTCGGCGGTCAGACGCTTTTTGGGGGTCATATAGCGAAAAGCACGGTTCTGGTGCTCGTCATAGCCATTCCATCCGCGGGTAGTAAGACGCTCTGGCGTAGGTCTAATCAGCACGGAGGTCTCCCAGGTGGATATGAGATCTTCTAGCGCTTCCGGGAAGTCGGAACCTTTGTCGATGATCCAACCTACGGAGTTTGAGAGCGGTGGCGGTGAGAACAACCGGGCCCCTAGGGCGGAGTAGGTGCCGGCGCCGCCGAGGATATCTCTCACCGGGGGTTGCGGCGGCTGGTATTCAATTTCATCTTGAGGTTTAATTACGTTAGTTAGTTAGTTAGTTAGAGGATATTAGTTTTAAAGTATAGGTAGCGATACTGATCAAATATCAATATGGCATATTCTCGAGAATCCGAATAGTAACATGTGCCAAGTTGTAAGTTTAGTAACCTAACCTAGTATCATAGCTCTCCGTTAATCGATCCCACTTGGACCAAATGCAGTCAACCGATCCGACCCTCAGGTGCCACCAAAGCTTTGGTATTCACGATCACGGGTCGATGGGTGATGGGTGATGGGTGATGACGAGCGGATCCAATGAGAAACGGGTACCTGATCTCGAGGGACGAACTAAGGAGGGGGGGTGTACTATACCTATAATAAACATTCCTAAAGTGACGAAGTCTATCTCTTGAGAAGGCGTCTCGCCATCCTCAGTTTTGAGCACATTTTGATCATCCATAGCTTATCGTTCTGTCTCTCTTTCTCGAGTCTTAAGTTGATATTCTAATTCTTCTCGGATGACTGTTAGATGTCATGTCATGTCATGTACGATACGATATCATACGGTCGGTGTAGATTTTGGAGTGCATGAACCCATGAACCTCAACCCTAGACCGCCCTCTTAAATGTGGCAGTGAGCAACAGTTAGAAGGTTCGCGCCTCAACGTCCAAGGGAATATTTGATAGGCAGAAAATAATCGACCAGGCTGAGCTTCTGCATGCAGCCTCACTTTTTGACGGTTGTTTTTAATATGAAAGTTGTTGGCTTTTTAGGTGGGATGTAAGTTACAACATTCAAGTTGCAATGTGAGGTAGGTAAGGTACCTGCTAATAGATTATGTAGGTTAAGGTAGGTTAGGTACCTAGGTTAGGTACACCTAAGCAGTGTCCATATGCTCCAAGTACTTCGGTACACGTTTTTGTGTTTAGGACTAATGCCTGCAGGTAAATACATCTATAACCAATCAAGATTGCAGTAGCATAGACCCACCTATACTATTTAGGATAAGAAACCAATCGCGTTTGGTATTGTATGTACCTAGGTAGGTACCTAAGGGAAGGTGAAAAAAGGGTACGTATCCCTGTTGGTAAAGCTTCAACCCACCTGAGCAGCTTCTTGGCGGTTGTCTGAATTTCGAAATTCCTACTCTATCGTTAGCCTCGTCGTCATCTCGATTATTTCTCCTGCCTTTCATCTACGTACCTAGGCATCAGCATTTTACAAGCACATAAATCTCTGCTCATAGTCGCTAGTCCGACTTAAGCGTTATTCGTTTCTGTATCAAATTAAATCGCTTCTTTGTGTCGCGAGTTCAACGTTGTCTCCCTCTTCCCCCCCTGATCGAAGCTTCGAAACGTCGAAACGTCGAAACGTCGTAACATCGTTGAGTCCTAACTTTGGAAATTCTTAAGCTGCAACTATCGTTATCACCTAGGCGCAACTGCCAATATGGCGCAGAACCATATACATAATTTAGTTACTCTAATCAAGAGGTAGGCTTTTTCTACGCTACCTCATTATGAGAAGCGTTATGCATCCTCGGCATCTTATTGGCTCTTATACCTATCCCGTCCGCAGCTGAGGTCAACTGATATTCTAACTTCTAAACTTAGACTAGAAGCTGCTACTACTCGTCTAGAGGATATTGCTTCGTCGACAATAGAGCTACCTCAAGCTGTCCCCGCCCTCACGGCTACCGTCGCAACTCCGTCTAACACATCGAGCCCTACGCCACAGCAGGCTATCTCCGCGCCGGCCTCTTCTGCACCCGTGCAAGTGCCTCAAGAACCTTTACCCGAGTCTATTGAAGAATTCGATGCTTTCATCGATCGGTCGGTTGATAAATATGTTAAGGCCAGCAACAAATTAGGCGGCTTGGTTGCCGAACAGGCTTCTAAGGTGTTGGAGGGGTTCAAGCAGCAGCGCCGGTTCCTGCTGATATCTACTAAGGCTAAGAAGCCTGACATAACGGGATCGGAGATGGTTGTCTACCAAGAACTACTCAAGCCAATCAACGAGGCGCTCATGGCTGTCGGCAGCATTAAAGAGTCCAACCGCGGCTCTGCCGTTTTCTCCCAGCTAAGCGCTGTCTCAGAGGGCATCATGGTACTAGCTTGGGTTACAGTCGAAAACAGGCCGTTCAAGCATGTTGAAGAGTCTTTGGGATCGGCGCAATTCTTTGGAAACCGAGTGATAAAGGAACATAAGGAGAAGTAAGAGAGTGGCTACATCTAAGCATTAAAGCTAGTGCTAACCCAAGTTTTAGGGATGCCGACCAGGTTGAATGGATCCAGTCCTTCTATCAAGTATTCCGTGATCTTGCCGACTACGTCAAGCAATACTTCCCCAACGGTATCCCCTGGAACCCGTCCGGACAGCCCGCATCCGAGATCGCGAAGTCACTAGAGTCCGCTCCGGTTGTTGGCGTCGTAGCTCCGCCCCCCCCTCCTCCCCCAGTCGCAGGTGGTGCCCCGCCGCCGCCACCCCCGGGTCCGCCGCCTGTTCTTCAGATCAAGGATCAAGCCGCGACCTCCAAGCCAGAAGGGATGGGCGCAGTGTTTAGTGAATTAAATAAGGGTGAGAGCGTGACCAAAGGCCTAAGGAAGGTTGACAGGTCAGAAATGACACATAAGAACCCGGCGCTAAGAGCAAGCTCGACCGTCTCGGATTCCTCTGCCAGGGGCAAGAGTCCCGCGCCCGGGAAGAAGCCGAAGCCCGAGAGCATGCGCCTCAAGAAGCCTCCCAAGAAGGAGCTTGATGGCAACAAATGGTTAATCGTATGCGTCTCCATTTACCCCTTTTCCTAGGCTCGTTGGCTCCTAAGTATTACAGAAACTAACAGCCACCAGGAAAACTTTGATAAGCACCCTGAGCCGATCGAGATCGAGGCCGAAATGTCGCACTCGATCCTAATCAGCCGATGTAACCAGACGACCATCATCATAAAGGGAAAAGCAAACGCGGTTACAGTCGAGAACACACAGCGACTTAGCATCGTGATTGACTCTCTCGTATCCACCGTCGACGTAGTCAAATCCTCCAACTTCGCGCTCCAGGTCCTCGGCACCCTACCCACTGTCCTGCTCGACCAGCTCGACGGCGCTCAGATTTACCTCAGCAAGGAGAGTTCTTCCACCCGCGTCTTCTCCTCCAAGTCCTCCGGCATCAACATCAACATCGTCGCCGGCCCTGATGACGATTACAAGGAGATTCCCCTCCCTGGCCAGATCTGCTCGTATTACGACGAGGCGAAGGGCGACATGGTTAATGAGATCGTCGACCACGCTGGCTAAAGGGTTATAGCGGTTTGTATTATGTGTATATACCTATATACATACACACTTAGGTCGTGGGCGACTGTGGGCGACTGTGGACGTTGGATTGAACTGTGCAGCTCGTTTATATGTAAGGCCAGATACGTTCGAAAGCACGTTCTACCCGGGGGTTGAGAGCGCGGTTGAAGAAAGTAGTGTAAAGCCAGGATATACCCGGGCGTACTCGCGACCTCTGGGTGCCTACGGTGTCTATTGTATCGCCTAGATAGCATGTCGTATTTAAAGCATTCACAACTAGAAATATCCTCACATCACATCTTTAAACGAAATCAAAATAGGTCATGTGATTATGACTGGTCTTCTTAAATTCTTGATTTATTCCATATGGCTGTATGTAGCCACTATAGCTGGCCAGGTAGCTTCTAGGTACATATAGAATATATCCACTAACACCGGTCCGATGCTCTAGAAACCTAGCGAAACCAAAAATGTTGGGGAGAAGCGCTCAATGCGCTAACATGCCATGCGACGGTATATACCCAATATAAGGGTGTAAAGATACATATACCTTCTATTCCTCTCGCTAACAACATACATAAAAGCGCATGCAGAAAAGGACCTATTCCTTACAGCTTAGCCTTGGGCGGCTCGATGGTAGGGAAAAGCAAGTCGCGGAGGTCGTTAGCGGCCTCGTTGATATAGTAGCTCATCTTATCGCTACCAAGGCCCTTAGACACGATGTTGAAGTTGAGGCTATCAAGAGTACATTAGCATTTTGTCTGTTGAATATATAGGCAACCAGAAGAAGAAGAAGAAGAAAACTCACCTGTTCTCATTGATCATATACGCAATTCCGAACCCAGCATCAATGACCTGGCTCCAGCCGTATCCATTGAAGAACTCGGAACTGAGTTGGCTGGTAGACAAGAACCAGGAGCTGCTGTAGCCGTAAGCCGGGTCCTTGTAAATAGCAGGGAGATCCTCGCCAGGCTCAAGCAGCCTCTTAAGACCGAAAAGGTGGCGATCGACGCCCTTGCCGTCGGACGCAGCGCCGATGTACTCAATATGCGCAGCGACGGCCTTGCGGAACAGGTCGGCGCGGTCCTTCTCAGAAACCTCCGGGTCGGCCATAGCGTTGCAGAAAGCGACGCTCTCGTCTGAGACCGTGCGACATGTCTCTGTGCGCCCCTGCTGGAAACGTCGGGTCGCGGCAGACTCGTACGTTGGCCGGTTCTTGCCGTACATCTTGTGGTACGCCAGCTGGATCACCATCTGCACGTATGCGTCGGGCGAGCACTTGAATTTCTTGATCAAACCCTTGCCGTAGGCCTGGTAGGCCTGGACCGCGAGCTCGTGCTTCCCGATAACCTCGTTGAAGTCTCGGATTGCGCGGCCAATCTCCGCTTGCACATCCTTAGTGACTTCGAAGCTGACCGGAGTTGGCTCGGGCAGGTTAGATCGCACTGACGGGTTGCTGAAGTCGAGCTTGTTACCAAAGATGACGTCGTTAACATAGTCATTTAGACGGTGTGTAGGTGTACCGTCCATCATGCTGTGCTCGCCCAGGAAACCGGATGTACCGTTGTCGTTCACGATGAACTGCAGGGGCTTGTCATACCATCGATTCTGGCCGTCACCGTGCCAGTACTGGTGTGCGCGCTCCTCGAGAGTAACTGGAGAGGCATCGTCTAAGCAAACAACGAAAGAGGCCGACTCAATGGCTTCGATGGCCTCCTTGTTCTTAGGCGAAGCGTCTAGCAACACCTTGCGCGCGTCCGTCCAAACATCCCTGTTCTCGGAAGTGAGGGCACCCACTGCGGGGGCGCCCTTTGCAAGGTCATAGATGCGGGCAAACTGCGATTCGAGCTCAGAGGTGTTGAGCTGATTTCCGTCTACTTCGTGAGCAACCTTAAAGAACTGGTTCTTTCGGATGACGATAATGTGCTTGTGGTCCTTGGGGTCGTATTTGACGGGGTGATCGGCGGGTCTAGCTGGTACACGGCTGGTGTTGAACATCCACTTGTAGCTGTCCATACAAATCGGCAGCTTCTTCATGTATTCAGGCTCAAGCGAGCCAGAGTCGACTTGCTTCTTGAATTCGAGCGCGGCGGTGGTCAGGGCGGCGGCGCGCTTTGCGGGGTTTCTCCGCCGTCGGTCATCTCGGTGAGAGTAGAAGTAGCTGACATAGGGAACAACAGGGTCTCGATAACTGAGGTACGCTACATCGTTCCACCACTCGTATATCCAGTTCTTGATATTGGGGTTTTCACGTCGCGCGATCAGTTTCTCCTGTAGCTTCTGTCCTACACCCCCAGGTTTTATGAATTCGTCGACAGCCTTCTTACTTGCGGCATATTCGGCGGGGCTTAACAAAGGATGTAAGCTCTTCACGTAGCGGGCTGCGGTCTCCTCGAGGGTCGGGACTGGTAATCGAGGAAGCGATTCTTGGAATCGAAGCATTGCGCCTTTTGACTTGTCCTCTACATACCCTATATTGTTTTATTAGCGATTATGAACAGTCCGGTTGCCTCTCTCTTGCGCTCGTATAACTAACCTGCGGGAAGGGAGCTGTTGCTCCGTCTCGCTGCCGGCGCCATCAATATACTCTTTATAGTCGATAAACGTTAGCTTTGCGCCATTACTCGATATTCAAGATGGGTATTCGGAGTGCGCACCTTGGGTGTAATAGATTGTCTTATTATGGGTATTCTCAGAGCGGTAGCCTGTGCCCGACTCTTTGCCAACGAACTCAACATTACCAAAGATGTTGTCTCTTAATACAGAGTAGAATGCGAAAGGAAAAAGGAAAAAGGAAAAAGGAAAGCAATGACCAACAAGCTCGTAAGCTATCTCGTGGGTACTGTGTAATCAAAAATCAAAGGAACCGCGGTATGATGCGGTATAGGTATGGGTATGGTGTCCTTGTAAGTGTGGAACCTAGGCTATTTTCCTTGAACGGGGCTCTGTCAATGGAGTGTTGTATAGGTAGGTAATTAAGGTAATTAAGGCAATTAAGTGAATTAAAGGCGGGCTGACGGGTTAAGGGCACTCTAAACTTTGTACTAGGTACCAGCGGTTAGCCGATAGACCGTAGCTTCTTCAACCGCGAACCTTAACAAAATGGCGTCGGCAGTATGTCCGGAAGGACGCAAGCTACAGCCGCATCTGGAAATTGGCTGTGCAAGTGGGTTGCTTCGGCTGCCAGATCCCCGATGCCGAGGTAAATGGATCTCTAATTCCCCAAACCCCAGACTTTTTTTTTAATGCTTTAACCGCGACTTGCGGGAATTTATCTTGTGGTTATGTGGCTTAGCCTCACAAGGTCAACACAAGGTCAATTGTCAAATGACCGAGCCACATCCTCTCCATTTCCATTTTCACATGCAAAGCGTATTTCGCGTTGGATCCAATCCCACATCTCATTACATCATCGCTGCTGCGTAACGCTTACTTACTGCTTCATATGATTTGGAAATATTCTAGAACAATGTGACCTAACCTAGATGATAGCAGTTGCGCGTTTGCTAGCCAATACTCGTTTGTTATGTTAACTTGGATCTATCACAGTGTTGAGTGCCAAGAGAAATAGATCCCCTCCCTTGGAAACCAACAGCAAAAAATCTAAGAATCAAAAATGGACAAGTTATGATTAGATGAAAAGGCTATTCAATAACATTACGGTATTCTAACCGCTTTATTATCCACATATATTCTGTTGGGCAATATAAGGAATGGAGATCCGGGCTTGACGTGCGGGAGGTTTGTTTACCTGCCTAGGTACATTACATACCTATGTAAACGGTAGTTAGTGAGTTAGTTCAATAGGTTAGGTAGTCTTCAAAAACATTCTACTTCAGAGCCGGTTTTAATCAATCCTCTATTTTTCCATGTATCGATGTCAATATTGCAATCTTCAAGAGACTACTAACCTAATCATTTAAGCTCTAACTATGTAATATATTAAAGACTTAGTAATGAAGATGACGAGATATCTTCAGGAACAAGTTTAGTATCCAAGCTAAACCTAAGACCTTTCTCCGCGTTGCTAGAGCATCTATGTCTCACCCGCGTTAGCTAGAGCTTCCGCTGCAACTCCAGGTCTTATTAGCATTCTCGCTCCCACTGCCGCGTCTTTGTATAGGCATTCCACCAAAACCGCGACCATGGCTATATCAACAATTTACTTCAAATACGGGCTTAAAGTCCTTCGGTTTGGTCTCCCAATCTCAGGCCAGGTCGTTTCTTACAATTCATTCTTTTCTCTGCAAACAAGCTTAGTCACTCTTTTACCATCAACTTCTCTTCTTACTTCGCTCTTTTCCGAGTCTTTAAGTCGCTCCTTTACTTTATTCGATATTTTGGACATTCATTTGGATTAGCATTTGGATTAGTCGCCGCAATGGCAACGGGATATTCACTCTCTACACATTATGCCGGCCAGGGGTTGCTTGATAGCTTCAGTTTCTTTACCGGGAACGATCCCAGCCATGGCTTTGTTGAGTATGTATCAGTGTTCAGCTATTATTAAATAACTATTATATATCTGACTGTCTTATAATAGTTACCAAAGTAAAGAGGACGCTTTAGCTAAGAACCTAGTTTCCGTTGAGACCGATTATAATAGCGTGAGACTCGGCGTTGATTCAAACAATACATATTCTACTAGCGATAAGGGGCGACCCAGCGTACGTCTAACGAGTGATGATGCGTTTACTCACGGTCTTTTTATTGCGGATATCTATCATATGCCAGCGTCGACATGCGGCACTTGGCCTTCCTGTTCGTTCTGATCATCCCAACTATTGTAGTTTGATCTGACATGTTCGTTAGTTTGGGCTTTCAATAACCAAGATAACGGAGCAGAATGGCCTTTGGGAGGTGAACTAGACATCATAGATGGCGCCAATACTGCCCAACGAAACTTATACTCTGCTCATACGTAAGTTGATTTGTCTATAAGCAACGAATCCCTGCTGAGTAGAGCAGAACTACAGGATGCAAATCTCCCAGTGCTGGTTTCACTGGGAAGCAAGGTCGAGCAAACTGCTCGCCAACCGTAAGTCAAGCGTGATGATTATTTTAGGACGTGGCTAATACGTGGAGCTTAGCTTGATAACATGGGCTGCAATACTGTATCCCCGCCATCCGATACTACTTCATATGGCGATTCCTTTAACGCTGAAGGCGGTGGTGTGTACGCTCTGGAGTGGGATTCTGAAGACCTGAAATTATGGCATTTCCCACGCTCTACGATCCCCGATGATATCTTGTACGCTCACGTCTTAGGACCTGACCCTTCTACCTGGGGACCACCCCACGCCGTTTTCGGCAGCCCTTCTTGCAGTCCTGATAAATACTTCTTCAACATGAGTCTAGTATTAAATATAGTAAGTTCATGTCTTTGATAGGGCTACAATGTACTTATACGAGGTTACAGAACTTCTGTGGCGATTATGCAGGCAAAATCTGGGGTAAAACCGACCAGTGCAACCGTCTCGCCCCTACGTGTGAGGAATTCGTTGCTGGGAATCCAGAGAATTTTCAAAGCGCGTAAGTGATCGTATAAATCTTTTTTTTAAAGGTATCGTTCGGGGGCTAATTTTAACGAAAGTTACTGGGATATCAATTTCATCGATGTATATCAAATGGGACCGTTGTCAGACATGACGATACCGCCCCTTTCCACCAACACCACATCCTTAAGTATTTCATCAACAGCTAGCGTAACAGAGGAACCAACCGGGGTTGTTCCAACTCATACCCGCACCATCACGTTATCCACAGCAAAACCTACCGAGACTGGCGGCGCCGAGATACATCCAAGGGACACTAACAGCCACACTCTTCTGGGGTGTTTCCAGTCCCACGAGAACTACGAGCCATTCTCGCAGGTTAAATCGGCGGCAGATATGGACACCAAATCATGCGTCTCTGCTTGTGCTGGACACAAGTATGCTGGTGTGCAGGGCGAGTAAGTACCTAACACATCAAGCAACCTGCTCGTCATCCGATATACTAACCCGCATCATAGTACGTGCTACTGCGCCGATACACTTGGGGAAGCAAGCGGCGTTGAGAATGAGAGATGCAATACGCCGTGTCCTGGAAACGGACACGAAATGTGCGGCGGGCTCTTGGACTCAGCTTCGACACAAGCATCGCCCAGCCACTCTCTCCTAACGAACTCCCCCGCATCAGCACCTAAACTTCACCACCGTACCGCTATGGACAACATCTTACTAACAGTCTACGGAAACCTATCCGACGACCCCGCGCCCCCGGCCGCACCCGCAATGGGCGGCAGCCACTATCACCCCTCAGTAAAGCCAGCGCATAACGCGGCGGTAACAACTGACGTAACTATAACATACACAACCGTATGTGCCTCGAACCCGGCAAAACTGGTAGAAGTAGAATACCACACGACGGTAACATACGCGCCATGCACCTGCACCAAGACCCAACCCGAGGCAGTCTACTCGACGACCAAGGCCCCTCCCCCAGCAGCAGCCCTCGCCGCCATACCCATGAGGATGTACAAGGCTACATGTCAAGCATGCGGTACGCACGGCGAGAGCACCGTGACGTTGACCGTGCCGGTAGCCGTGTACACATCTAAGGTCGTCGTTACCGCTACGGCCGTGCAGACTGTCATTCCTCTCGTCAGCAACGGAACCGGCCTCGCGAACGGGACGACTGCCGCCGTGGCGATGGCTACCGTCACTCCCCCGCCTCCACCTAGCCCTCGACCCAGCAGCGGTAACGTAAAACCCCTCGTAGCTGCTGCCTCCCCTCGCAGCAAGACTTTGAGCGCCGCGCAAATAGTTGGCTGGGGTGTGGCGGCGTGGGTTGGTCTATTTGGGATTATGCTTATCTTATGATGAAGTCTCCTTTCTATGTTCTCTTTCCTTATCTGATTTCATTTATTCGGGTCGGTCGGTTGTCTACGTTTCCTTTCCTTTCCTTTCCTTTCCTTGGTCTCTTTTGAATAACGTAGATGGTGTGGAGTTCATGGAATCGGGGGAAGTCTGGCATGATTCGGTTTACATCTAGAGGCTGCGGTCCGGCAGCATGATAACGATGACGAATTTCTGGGAGTAGGATTCGGGTTGAAAGATTTTATGCTATGTTCAATTACCGGCTAGCCCGTGTAAATATCCAAAGAACACCTTTTATTAAACCATCAAATATGATATCCTCTTCGTCCTCTATTTCGGTATTCAAAAATGTCGCTTTCGACTTTTCAACCTATATCTAAACAGGCACAGTATTCCGTTATTAAGCCAATAACTAACCTAGTGATCTACCCTAGACTCGGTTATGGCGGCATCAAGCCTTTGTGGTATAAACCCGCTTGCCAACTTAGGATAGGGGTTTAATTACCACTTCTGTGCTATTCCTTGCCGATAGGTCTTCGCGCAGCTTTACTATGATCTCAAATTGTGATCGTTATAGGGGCCTTTTTAGTCAATTTCCCCGAAGTCCCATTCTGCATGCCAGCATTGATCAGGATGCTCCGGTTTGCGATTCCGCCGAGGAATAGCCAGTGCCATAAAATGCTGGTGACGCCGTAATACAGCACCCTGTATACATCCAGCCAGGCCCGGTAGTCAAGTATGTTGTAAAATAATCCTGGCTTCGGACGAGACATGGCTCTCTCGTACTGCTTTTGACACTCATCCCAGAACACGTGCTGCAACCCCCGACCACAGTGGACATGGCCAAACATGTGCACTTTGGGCTTCTTCCTCCATATCTCTCGAAGCAGGTGAGGACAACCAAGAGATAGATCCAGATGGTGTTTCTAAAGCGATATATTTAGATACAGTTGCTGTAACTCACAAGGGTGCTCACTTACTGGTGGAGTATGCGTTACAAGAATATCTGTATCTATGGGTACGACATCTTCCCACGGATTCTGGTACGATGTGTATTGGAATCTGTAACAGCGACTATGTTTAGGATTCATGTTCAAACGTCATTAAATGGAGTTGGCTTATACATACGCATTATCAGGCCCACCGCACTGAGGGATGTCAGGGGCACCATAGATATTCAATTTCCGTCCATCCTGAAAGTCAAGGGTGACAGATCTATGCTCAAGATAATGTATCGTTTTCATATCAACAGAATTGCCGTGGAGCTTGTCTTCCTCCGTCCTAGAGCTAATATCGAACCAACTATCGTGGTTACCACAGATAACAATCTTGTGTGGGTGCGGTAAAGAGGCCAGCCAGTCGATCTGTTTTTGAATAGAGGCGGCTTTACCGTCATTCACCAGGTCGCCACAGTGGATTAATAGGTCGCCATTAGGAACGTTTTGAACGATAGACTCATGGGTATCCGATAAGCATACAATCTTAATGGGATGCTTTCCCCGTGGTGGTCTAGTTCCGTTACTGCGTAGCCATAAGATTATGTGGTATATATAGAATATGAGCCCCTGAAGAGGCGCCTCCAGTAGCCAATCTAGTATCGTCGGACTCTCCCAGATAATGGGACGGCGTAGGCCCAGTCGAACAAGCAGTCCCATGGCGATGATATTTCTGTTTGCTGCCCTATTTGCTGCCCTACGACTTAGAGAGCGGGCCTAATAGGTAGTCGTTAAGCTCACTAAGAATATTTTAGGTAGTTGATGGGAGATATAAATGTGTAAGAGTAGCATCGCCTTTTATCAGGCAGACAAGAAGCAACATAGCTATATCCCGGTTCTGAGGTTTAATATAAAGTTGGACCTGACAGAGATGTCGTTGTGTTCCTGCCGCCGCAAAATGTAACAACAACAGGGACCCCGGCTAGCTGTAGAGGCCCATTCGGTATACAATCCCAGCGGAACGTGTTCGCTAACGATACCTGCAACCCCTGTAAAAACACGCTAAAGCTTGCTGCAAGCGATAAGTTTAGACTGTTTAAAGCAATTTACAGCGCACATCGCCCAGAGTTTATCGCGGGGCACTTGCAGGGAACGCACGGGCCAAGTATAGGTACCTAGGTACCTACCTGGTAACATGTCATGGATCCAAGTGGTCCCAATCGTACCTATCAAATGCGAGATGACGTTGATCAACAACTTGTTTCTACTGCTGCCGATTTTCCTTGATATCGGACCATTCAGCTACACACATGTAAGTTGTAACACATGCACATTTACTAAATTTGATACAATCTAAAACATCTAACCTTCTTGATTTACTTCCTTCCTATGTACATGGAATCGCTTCTCCTAATAGACTTCTCATACCCTCAGTCCTCTCTATTAATACCTCAATATCCTACCAGATCCAGATCGTAGACCTGTCACCTAACACATTATAAATAACATTATAATTACTACTTGGGCGTCTATACTTGGGCAACTCAAGGCGAAAGGCCTCGCCGAGCCGGCATAACTACAACTATTGCCGGATCATGTCGAGCATCCGGTCTCTCTATGCCTCCGACGGCGGTCACCTCGGGGGCAATATGGACGTAGATTATGTCGTTCGGTACAAGATTTCCAGCGACAGAGCCGAGGCCGCAGCTGGCTTCACCCAGCTAATTGAAGCCCTCACTAGGGTTGGGCTCGCTTCAGAAGTTCGATACGGCGACGGATCTTCCTTATTGGTCTTCGTTAAAGTGGCATCTGAGCAACATCTAACCAATCATATTTATCGCGAACGTGTTCAAGATTGGCTCTACGGTGTGCGGATTACCACTCCCAACAAGGACGTGGCTAAAGAATTCGCCCACCAGTCTGTTACCGAAGCTGAGCGGCTGCGTACCGTTTACTTGTTGATCACAAAGCCTAAGAACGAAGGCGGTGCGGGTATCGCGCCCAAGATTGGCGTATGGAGGAACGTGGAATCCATCTTCCCACTTCACAACCACGCCTTCAACCGACAATGGATTAAGCAATGGAGTACCAAGTACATCCTAGACGATCGGGATCTCGACCAGATTCGCGATAAGTTCGGCGAAAGTGTTGCTTTCTACTTCGCGTTTATGCAATCCTATTTCGCATTTCTGATATTCCCGGCAGTGTTCGGATTCGGCGCTTGGCTTATTCTTGGTCAATATTCGTGGTTTTATGCCATTATTAGCTCCCTCTGGTCTATCACCTTCTTCGAATGGTGGAAAAAGAAGGAGGTCGATCTTGCTGTCCAATGGGGCGTTCGTGGAGTATCTCGGATCCAACGTCCCCGAACGCAATTTAGATGGGAACATGAGGCTATAGATCCCGTCACTGGCGAAGCCGTGAAAGTTTATCCTCCGATGAAGAGGTTGCAGACGCAGCTGTTACAGATACCATTTGCGTTTGGCTGTCTGGCAATTCTAGGGGCTCTATATGTATTCTGTTTCTCTATCGAGATATTTCTCACTGAAATATATAATGGCCCATTCAAATCCTACCTGGTTTGTAGAACCTCCTAGTCGGACGATATGTTATCTAATGCGTTTTTAGACTTTCACACCTACAATTATACTCACAGGATTACTGCCAGCGCTGTCGACTATTCTTGGTAGTTTTGCAGAGAAGCTCACTGACATGGAGAATTATGAGACGATAGATGGTGAGTGGATTCTTCTAATATTTTCCCGTTTGTATGTCGTTAACATCTATATAGATCATCATGCCGCCCTTGTTCGAAAATTATTCATTATTAACTTTATCACCTCTTATACTCCCCTATTCTTGAGTGCATTTGTTTACATGCCCTTCGGGAATCTTCTCGTGCCATACTTGGATATTTTTAAGATTACGGCCGAGCAATTCTCTAGCAAGGAGTCCATCACTACTCAGGGCTTTCAGATTAATCCCGATCGTCTAAAGAAGCAGATGATATATTTCACGGTAACAGCGCAAATCGTGAATTTCGCGCTCGAGGCTGTTGTTCCCTATGTGAAGCGCAAGGCATTCAAGGAAGTTGAAAGGGTTCAATCCAAGGGTAAGGCCTCAGCATCTAGCGACGTCCCCGAAGAACGCGAGTTCCTTGAAAGAGTTCGCAACGAGGCTCAACTCGACATATACGACGTCACTGTTGATTACAGGGAAATGGTTATTCAATTTGGCTACCTATCCCTCTTTTCAGCAATTTGGCCACTCACGCCGCTTTGCTTCTTAATCAATAACTGGGTTGAGCTCCGATCAGACGCCATGAAAATCGCGGTTAGCAGCAAGAGGCCTATTCCTTGGAGAGACGACTCAATCGGACCATGGCTTAACGCACTCGGCTTCTTATCTTGGTTTGGAAGCCTTGTGAGCTCCGCCATCGTGTATCTCTTCAGTGGTGATTCTGAGGGCCCTGGCGGCGACCCATCTAATATTGCCGTGTGGGGTCTCTTGTTAAGCATACTCCTTTCCGAACACGTGTACTTAGCCGCGCAATTTGTGGTTCGGTATGCGTTGAAGCAGATGGACTCCCCCGGGCTTCAAAAAGAGCGAGCCGAGCGGTTTGCTATAAGGAAACAGGTGTTAGAGGAGAGCCTAGGACCTGAAGCTATCGAGAAACCCCTGCCCCCCACACCACGAGTAGGGGAAAAGATTACCCGGGAGTCTTTAGAGGACCAAGCTCGTGAGATATCCACTCACGGTGGAGGAACCCCTGAACAGTTGTAAGTTTCTTCCAAGCCCAACTAGAGAGCCGCTATACTAATACTTTTAGATTCTGGCTACGACAGCAAGGAATGGATGAAACAATTCAAATAGGCCGTCATCTAATTTCACAGGCGAAAGTGGCCAAGAACTAGGTGTCCGGGCAACTTTGTATCACCTAGGGGGTTGTAGAAGAGGTCCTTGTAGTTGTGTTGTTGACCATGACGGTAAGCTTAGTGGCTGGGTAGTCGAGATTGGTGTTATAACTAAAACAATAGCATATTATTATTCACGTACTTTACACTGTTAAATAAGGCAATTGTAATATAAGATTACCCAGTAAGCTGTTGTCATTACCTAGGTACACATATATATAGGTAGTCTCTCCAAGATGTTGAGACATATTCCACTATGAACCCTGGTTTAAACCCTTGAAACACAAGTCAGAGACAAATATGTAGAAAGTATAGGTTGATATAATCTATCAAGCTTTTAATAAACCCACAATCCATCCAATACAAACCCAGCCCATGCCGCCAAACAAAAGGAACCAAAATTCAATGTTTTCCGCCAAACCCACCCTACGAGAAACGCTCGCTCGCTCGTTTGGCGTCTTCCACTCATCCCCCATAGGGAATAACGAAGAAGAGGAAGAAGAAGAAGAAGAACGATAATAATAATAATAATGATAAATAATCTAGCACCGGCGCCAGACGTAGCTCCAGCTCTCAGAGGCAGTAGTATTCGGGTCCTTGCCGAAGTAGCCGTACTGAGCGCCGTCGGCCTGGAGCGCAACGCGGAAGTTGACATTGAGCAGGCCGACGTTGCCCTTGGAGTTCGTGCAGGGCGAGTAGACGACCTGGTTGTCGGGAACCGTGCTGTGCGCCGTGACGTCTTGGTTTACGCGGCCGGTGCCGTCGTTGGCTAGGGAGCCCCTGATCGTGACCTATTCCGACGATGAGATGGTTAACGACTGACTGACTGACTGAGTGTTTTGCTGGCGCGCTTGTTGGAACCTCTTATGTACCTAAGGTATACCTATAACGCATAGGATAATAAATAAAAACAAAATAAATACACATTGTCCAAGAACCAAATCGAAACACTCTCGGAGAGGAAGAAACAAACAGACAGACAAACAAATAAACATACAGTGTTATCAGCATCCTCGCTCCAAAAGCTCGTAACGTAGTAATCCAGCGACGCGCCGGGGTCGAGCACCAAATGGCCCTTGACGTAGACGTCCTTGACGCCGACCTGCCAGCCGGCCGCGGACCCGGCAATCGCCAGGTGGGCCTGGCAGTTGACCGAGGAGTCGGCGACGGACGTGGTGCGGGCCTCGAACGAGTTCATCCGCAGCGATATGTCGTCGAACCCGCCCGTGCGGTCCACCGCCGGCGACGCCGATGGACACCCGCTGCCCGAGTACGATACCGATACGATGCGGGGCGGGGGCGACGGCGCGTCTCGCGTCGTGAGTTGGGGGTTTGCGGCGGGTGCGGCGGCAGCAAGGCTGGCAAAGATGGGGAGGAGGGTTGAGGTGCGCATTTTGGTTTTTGCGGGTGAGTTTGTTTGTTTGGTTGGGTTTGGGTATTAGATAGATAGATAGATAGATAGATAAATAAATACCTAGGTAGGTAGATAGATATATGAAGTTAGGGATAGAGATAAAGAGGTAGATATAACTTTGCTTGTCTGTCTGACAACCCGATGAGTACCTATATAAATATTCTAGTCTAACAACAAGCGGACAACACCAGTCTTTATAGAAGACGCCTCGTCCGATCCATCACATGAGATATCCCAAGAGCGCAGCTCACGGATCAGCTCCGAGAAGCTAAAAAAGAAATCTCGAACGCCATCGATGTCTGCATATCGAAATCAGGACTGCCATTCTGGACCGGGGTTCATGGCCCGGCCCTTTTCGATAATTTCGCCTCCTAATCAAGAATACCATCCCATCGTCATCACCTTACCTAGGTAGGTACCTACACACGCGCGTATGTCCGCCACTATCGCATCCAAGCAAAGCAATAGGTAGCGGTAGCGAGCTTCTTCGCTAATTCTCGCAATTCTTGCCAACCGACGGCAAGCAGCTAGGGCGTGGGCACTTTAGCCATATTAACCAGCTGCCCGGGAAAAAAGGTTGTTGGAGCCCCGGGACCCTGAAGTAGTTAGGTGAGACTCCCAATCTTCCCACCAGACCCAGACCCATCCCGGCGCCCCGGGTAATAAGAAAAGAGGCAGACTGTGCGAGCAGGGTATCCGTGATAGCAGCAGGTCTAGAATGTCTCGCTCAGTCCAGATGCCAGGTTTTAATTTGCGGTGCGCGAGATTGGATCAGTCTAAGAAGCCTTCCGACACAGCGTTCGGGCGCGCATTGTGGACAGTTTTGCATCAAAAGACTTGGTAACGAGTATATTCCTAGGCCCGTTCCGACGTGCTGCGCCGGCGATGAAAGCGTGGTGTTTATTTTCGCATCGAGTCTAGATCTCGTTTTGCTTCTATTTATGGAATATGTCGTCGTAGCTCTAATCTCCCTCGTCGGTGAGTAAAGCAAGCCTAGACCAACGTAATCGGTCCATTACCGTCTGAATTTCTTGCATCACTGCAATTATAGACTTTATAGACTGTCGAAGAGCTTTGCCCATGATTGACAACTCTTCTGGAGCCATCTGCAGTACCAATAGACGAGATTACTCGTTCGTTGTAAGAAGCTCCAAGTCGGCATCCATGGCTTATCGAAATAAAACCGGCCCATCTAGACGGATGTCTCATGGCGACGGGCTTTGACGAATTTATGTCGTTCATTAATATTATCAGATATTCCCCCTATCCCGTAGCTTTTTTTTAGATGCTACCCCAGACGCCGGTGCCTGACCCAATGACACATGCAGCTGCGATATAACCCAGATCTCAAATCTTAATCAAACCATGATACGTCTTAGACCCTCCGTGCCGCCGAGGACCCGACGTCCTGTCACGGCACATCTGCCCTGGCCGCTTTCCCACTTGCCGGCTTGATCGGCCATGAACTCCTCCTGTCTCTGATGTGAACCTTCGAGCCACCTATGTATGCAGGCATAGCAGTAGACCACGCCCGTCTGGCAAGCCGTCGCCGTCGTGATTTCGTCTTCGCAGATGGGGCATAGCTCAGAATCCTCTGGCGCAGGTACGGTAAAGATAGGGAGCAATGATGGAGTAGCAATTGGCGCATCCTCTGCCGACGGTATTTTAGGTCGTTCCTCTTCTTCTTTCTTACTCTTCTCGTCGTGATCCTTCTGGCCCTTCTTGTGCGGCACCTTGGCTCCTAACGCGGATAAACCAGACACGACAGGTGGCGGTAGCTCGAGGTTCTCGGCAGCCTTCCTCGACAACTGCTTCGCAAAGTCGGACGCGTACCACCATTCGAGGAACTTCAGCGCAAATATGCTGGTCGGTAGTAGGACTGACAAGCTACTTAACAACCTCGGTCCCATTACTCTCGGATTGAGGAGACTGGCAGCCGTAAGGGGTGGGATTCCCGCCTTTGGCTTGCCTAAAGCCTCAATGGCCTGGAAATCTGCCCCATTCATCCTACGCATCCTAGTGCCGATGAGCCAGAGGAATGGATTGTGGTATTTACTGCCGTCAAATAGGTATGCTAGATTAAAGGCAATGATGCTGAAGTAGTAGGCGGCGTGTACGCTTGGATATACATTACGTATGAACCACTTGTAATAGTGTAACAGTCGCTGCTTAAACGTCGGGTTCGCAGGCATACGGGTATAGTTTGCACCGAGAAGGGCTCGTGGAGCTTCGATCTCGTGGCTCTCGTCCAGCTTCCGCTTCAGGTACGGCAGAGCAACCATAACAGCCAGATTCTTCCAGATATCCTTCTCGCTCAGCTTGAGAGTTTCCCGTACCAGCTCCGGAGTGCGGGCGGTAGCACGAGGGACTTCTGCCTGTAGCGACTTTTCTCGTTTGAGGCCATAGAAGTGTTCGGTAAAGCTGCCACCGCGTGTCCGTAAATAGTGGCGCTCGATAACGAGCATGGCGAGCGCGTAAAGCTCATCGAAGGAGTTAAGAGCACGTAGTAAATAACGGGGGTACCGATGAGTCGCGACAGTAAGAAGGTATCGCAATGTCGGTGGTAGAAGTGAGTTGAGCTGTTGTTCCGAGAGTAATTCAAATAATGAGGGTTTCTGGTCGTCGAAGGTGCCCCGAAGGGCTGTGACGAATTCCATCCTGACTGTTAGCGCGAGCTACACCTCAATTGGTATCTAGGTAAGTTGATTGTTAATAGCAGGACATGTTTTGTGGGTATTCTTTAAAATGTAGAATGTAGATTGAAGCATAAGATGACAAGACACGAGCCAATCCAAATAACAATCCAAGTTTAGGTACATTATGTACTCGGTCCAGGATCGACAAGATGCCGAGGTTGACGCAAAATGAAAGGAGCTCGGGCCATAATTTATTGCTTATCTAATCCACTATACGGAATAGTACCTAAGACATTAACCTAGGTACCTGGATACCTCCATAGTACCTACCTTATCAATCCCGCCTCCTGTAATGAATTATTCCTTCGACATTTCTAATTTATAGCCATGGGCAAAATAGTGATAATACATTAACCTAGGTTAGGTACTTTGGCATCAATAAAATATATAGAAGGAATTATTGCAAAGCACAGCATACCTCCTCAAACTCCAACTAGACCAAGCTTAGAAATACATGTAGGACATTAATATAAAAGAGACGGCACGAAAAGTCTACCTAGTTATCCGTCCACGTCACCCAAGAGATGCCCGTGACTTCCAGCTCCAGTCCAGGCTCGTCTTCCTCATCTTCATCGTCGTCCGACCGGTAAGCTGGCAGGTCAAATTCATCCTCGTCACCTAGCTTGGCGAGGGAGGTATCGTGGACACTGGGCAGAAAATTCTGCATAATTTCGCTGTATTCTGCTATGATATCGTCCGAAACCTTCCAAAATGCACTTGGACCAGCTGGGCCATGTGGATCGAAATCCCTAGGCATCTGTTCAGCATACACACGACACATAGGTAGGTAGGTACCTAGGTAATAGCAGCTAAGGTCCAGTCGACTTACTTGTCAAACCAATTACCCAATGCCCCCTTGGAGCTCTTGACACCACCAATCTGGACACTCTCACTACGCCATCTCTCTTCACCGTTGAAAATCGAGAAGGTTGTCCAATGTACCTCGCCTTCACGGGTTAAGCGAACGGTGCCTTTCTCTCCAAGCACTTATTAGCAAATTTATATGTCCTGCAAGTGAAAAGGGGAACGCACCTTTCATACCTTTTAAGTCTGAATTGGCATTATCATTATAGCTATCGTCGAGCGGCTGGGAAATTCCCTTGAAATGTACAACTGGTAGTTCTTGTCCGTCCTCGGGCCCAGGGGGCTCGATACTAGTCACGCGAATCCTCATAAGGATTAGGCGCGTAGCCTGGCCAACATCGAGAGCAGGTCGAGGGATATCCCGCGGAAGTTGTGCGCCTTCGGCGAAGTTATATAGATGAAAGTCTGTATAGTCTAGGAAGCATACTATGCGTAGCCAAGTCCCTGTGACTCCATATGGGTCCTGAAGTTCCAACGGATCTGGGACTTCCGGAGAACCCGGCCTCCGCGGGATATGATGTGGTATATAGCTTTGGGGCCATGTTCCTGCGAAAGGTGAGTCCCAAAAGCTGCTACATAATGGAAACCTCGCAAGGCCAAGCCTCCGAAGGTTCGATCCGATCACGATCATGATGGCTTCGGCTTTCTCCCAATCCACACGGTCTGTATCGTCATCCATAAACGGGCCCCATTTCGTCTTTTCTGTATATCGTCTTAAGTCGTATACCATAGAGCAGGCGTACGGGCTCATCTTGCTCTCTCTCGTCTGATGGGACTCTGGCCGCGCATACAAAATAGGCACCCCAAAAAGACAGTGTAAGTGTGCGCTCTTCTGGTGGTCTGCCTGTACGGATGAGATGTGGCTATCCGAACAGATGCATTCCTTGCGGGCGCGCCCGAAGATAGTAGACCGACACAAAAAAGCAGATTGGTTAGTTTCTTCCTCGAATATAGAGCGCAGAATTTCAGTGTTGCGGGATGTTAGATGGGTTGTTAACGGGAATCGCTCAGTATCGGTAGCAGCATTCTGGAGGAAAGACTTGACGGTGTTATAAACGAAGGAGAGTTCGTTCTTCTACGGAGCAAAGAGTCAGACATTGAACAGTTTTGAATCGCAAGTCAGCTAGGCATAATAAATGCAAGCATACGAGGTTCGAGAAGTTCGAGAAGTATCGTACCTTATCTTGGACACGATCTCTTCGGCCTATACTCTGTAAACGGACAACATCGTGAACTGCCTGCGTCCAATCCACGACGGGCTTATTTAGAGGATTATCGTAATTGTTAAGATAAACAATTCTGAAGAGTGAGGTGTTCCCATTGACAATATGGTAGAGATCCTTGCAAACGCGGGGGATCCATCCCAAGTCGGAGGGTTCGACATAACCGAGAACATGTTGCACGATCTCAGGTGGAAGTTCAATTAAAAGGACCATCTTTCTGACGTATACTAGAGGGCGAGAGAGGCAATCTCTCTCGCTCTCTCGTTTCTCCTATCACGGTTGTGAGGGCGGCTCGTTGGGATGTAATCTTAAGCCGCGAGGGACCATATGGAAGGTTTGCTGACCGGAGTTCGATGAAGGTAAAGAGGTGGAGAGTTGGGTGATTACCTACATGTACGATTGGGAATTGCTGCAAACTAGTCCTACCTCGGGATTAATGCCTATGAGGTACCTACCTAATTATAACCTTATATGTATGTACCTAATGTACTCGGATTTAACGCAATAGGTAGAGTGCCTTCTACGAATAACTCATTGCGCCATTTCCAAAAGTCCGGCTCTTGCCCGCTTGAGTTTACATATTGCCTTCCTATCACTATTACATAACATATGACTTATAAATTTATATGTATATTTGTACCTATGGAACCTGAGATAGACTTTATGAGGTAGGTATGTACCTAATCTACTCAATTAGCCGGTAGCTACATACATGTAGGGCCTCACTTTTACAACAGTTACTAAGGTAGGTATGTACACGATACAAGGTAAAAAAACAAGGATATGTCCGATTGCACTTTTACTAGTTTATACGGGGTATGAAACCCCCACGTTCTGCATTTCCAGCTATAACAGCTATAACAGCTAGCTCGCACTACCTAAGGGCGTATAATACAGTCCCGACAATTCACGATAAAATGCAATAAGAATTCTGGCCTTGGCAGAAGTATTGTAAATTCAATATGAGGATGAGTATGTCTCCGCATGCTTTGTAACGAATATTCGAATAATTTTGGCCAGTTTTTGGTAGATCTTGTATATACGTATCGAATAGCAGTAAATATCACACAAATGCGACAGCGATGTGGTTGTGCGACACCGTTACGTCGTGTTGGGTATATGATGCGAAATCGCTGTTTTTGCATAGTTATAATAGTAAAAAGTTCAAGGATCCAGATGCTCTGATAGACGCTATGATCTTCGTTAAGAAATGTTTTCTATGCCGCTTGTCCATAATCCCTTCCTCCTCATACATCAGTTAGCCATCCTTAGATTCTCGTTCATCATTCCGTATATTCCATGTTTCTTCCTTCGCGGCGAAGGGGGGTTTTTTCTTCGTATTTTATTGGCCATGGGCTTCGCTAAACCACGGTTGCACCGCTGTTGAGCTGGATACAATTGCTCAGCAGTGTTGCTCCTTCGTGCAGCAGCTCCCATCGTGTCGACTCGAACGAGTCCTTAAGAACTATAAGTAGAGTACTGTTGTTGTTGACACCCCTCATGCCCTTGAGGTCTTCCGGCGACGCCACCGAACCAACTCTCAATAGGTACTCGCGCATCTGACTCATTTTCTCCTCGGTAGTATTCGGAATGGGAACTCCAGGGCAAGGGCCCTCCAGCGCGAAACCGTAGCACCATACAACCAATGCTGCGAAGTAGAGCACCCATGGCCGGTTCAGGAGGACGTCGTCTCTGGCTAGATACATCAGGATACCCGATTGGTGGCTGTAACCCTCCGAAGGCGATCCTGCATTTTCAGGGAGCAAAACTGAGCATAGGAATTTAGCAGCGTAAAATGTAGCATCGCGAGCTTTTGCAGACGGCGCCCAGAGGTCCTTCATTCGACGCTGCGCGCTATTTAAATCCTGTGTACCGATCGCTCTACCAAGCAGGCGTTTGGCGCGAGCAAATATCTGACAGTCGACGATATCTACGTGCATTGCCATGTGCGCTAGATGGTGTAACACCGTCCTACTTTCAAATACTACATTAGCTTCGTTCCGCTTGTCGTAGCTATACGGATCGACCACGGTATCGGCGCGCTGCAGCGACTTGTCGAAGTCTGTCTTCCATGAGTCGAACGCTTTCGTAAGTGTTGATCGCCATTTGTCACGGCCCCCGAGCGCTTGTTGCACGCCACCGCCGAGCGAGCTGACTTGCAGGTCACGTTGATTCATATGCCAACTCACGCTTAGCAAACCTGCCATGAGGATCTGTCGACCGAAAGGATTCGTCTGTACTTCATGCCCCGCAAGAGTCCGCTTGAGTCCTTCGAGGAATGAGATAGGCTTAATTCCATTAGACATAAGGTTCGCCTCGATCCTACCAACCTCAGCGCCGCTTGTAGCCTTCCATAGCTTATCGTCACAAGGGAGGGGCAGACGCATTTCGTGTGCCACCATCACGGTCGAATGCCCAAACATCGTAGCATGAATCGAATCGATAAGAAACGCCGCAAACGCTGCACGTCTGGTAGTCTCGTTCGTTATCCAGTGGTTCCACCACTCATCCGGCGTATGCGCAAGCCCTGAAGTAGAAGAATGCCGAGAGCTATTCGCCCCCGATTTCTCATCTCGTGGGTTTGGCGGTGAGTCCAGAGCAGATTTCCCAATCAGGGCCCTCCCTCTCCGCATGAGCGTAATGGTAGTCGCATGATGGATGTGTGCTCGTTCATGGAGCTCCCTTGTTGAGTACATCTTCTCGTAAAGTTCTAGTAATAACAGGGTCTGGAAGGCCCAGATCTTCGCCGGCGGTCGGCAATTTACGTCCATGAATATTTCCCACCTTAGGTGCCACGCAAGGAAGTTAGAGAGTTGAGATCCAGCCATGATGACCTTCGGCCCGTGCGTCCTATCTAAGCAAGCAGCACCTATTGCCATCACTGCTATTAATAACAAATTCGGCGTCCTATCTGGCGAAAACGTCGGTTTGTGGAGAATTGGTATCTGATCGCTGAAGTGAAGCCAGTAAGAACCTATATACTGCTGCATCATCTTTCGGCTTAACATATGGTTCTCATCACTTCGGTCACCTTCTAATATACTTTCTCGTTGACGCTCTACTGGCGCATGATCGTTCTCGTGGAACCTCTCCTTAATAAAGTCAAAAATCTCTTGGCTCTTTTCCTCGGATAAGAGCGACTCCGGGAGGTTCGGGTCAAGAAGATTTGTTACAGCCATGACCTGCTGCGGTTGATTAGAGGGCGGGAAATATCCCAAAGATGCACTTTCGTAATATGGCATGCCATATTGATGCTCCGCATAGCTAGATCCGACCATGTTAGTTCGAAGAATAATACAAATCTTAAAGCCAGCCATTGATACGTACTTGGCATATTGATTTGGCGGCATTACATGGCCCACCTGCGGCGATCCGTTAGGATCATTGGTATTAAAGAGATATGCAAAAAAGTCTTCGGGAATAGCAACGTATGGGGACTTATTCAAGACGCCGTCACTACCAAAAATTGGAATGGTAGTTTGCGTTGCCATCTGATCCAGCAGCACCATTTCACCATTTGATTGAGAATGCGAATGGTCATAATCGTTAGAATTTTGTGGTGCGTAAGCTTGTCCAGATTCCCTCGGCATGTTACCAGCGGTTGTCGTCGCAAAATCTGAAGGGGGTAAGGTAAAAGGTGTTAAATTTTGCTGAGTGACGTATGGCATCGTCGGGGCAGACTGGGGGGTATTGGCGAGATGCCCGTGATAGTTGCCGTGCTGCGTGGGAACTGGCGATAAAACGCCATAAGGGGCAATGACGCCGGTTTGGATTGTCGGTCGTGGAGGGCCTGAAGGAGAGTGGTGCGGATGCCGCGCACCGTGAGGAGCGGGATAGCCCTGCTCGTGATGCATATACCCGTCAACTCCGTTTGGGTGACCGGCATGAGAAAAGTTGGCGGGTGGCGTATTTGATATCGGAGTATAAGGGGTGCCGATGGTATCTTTTGGTGACTGGTATTCATAGTGAGCTCCGCGTCCTTGAGTATAGCTTGGCCCGAGTCTATCGGAATCGGGGGAAACGGCACTGGGCGTAGGGTACGGAGGTCTTACGTTGTCGACGGGAGAAGACTGGCTAATCAAAGAATCTTTCCGATTCAGCGCAGACCCTTTCGCAGTATGGCGATCCTTATGACGGTTGCACAAGTCGAGTCGGACGAACTGGCGCTTACAATCCTGAAAGTCGCATCTATATATCTGTTTCGGCGAATGATTCAACTGGTGCCGATAGCTTTTCAAATCCCGCCCGGTCAGCAGAGCAAGCATATTAAGAATTAGTATCCTATAAAACTCACAGATGTTCAGCCCTTGAATAACTCTTGCCGCATCCCTCAGTAGGACATTCGAATTTCTTATCCAGACCTTTGCGACTCCGCCTCCGCTTTCTCACGGGTCCATCCGAGTTTGATGAATTACCGTTTTTGGTGTCACCGTCGCCTGCCTGGTCGCTCTCATTACCATCGATATCCTTGTCAGGAGAGCGACTTCGGCGACGCCCTCGCTGCGGGTCATCTTCATGCTGGACGTTCTGAGGCGGCGTCGGCTCCTGGACCTCGGTCATGATGGGGCGCGATCGCACGAAAGGTATAGATGGTTTAACGTCTCTAAGCAGTGCGGGGAGAACAGAAGTCATGTTCCATTAAACCATCATGGTCTTGCGAAGAATCGTAGCGCTTCAATTCCGGGCCGCTCGCGGCGAATGTGTCGCACCCCTCGTAGAGAGCTTCCTGTCGCACCTCGAACAGAAGAATAATTGGCCAGTAACGCTTAGTCGCACGCGCACACCCTCTCTCTACCAGTGCTCTTTCTACCTCTCTCTATGTGCGGTCCTAAGCAGAAAAATACTGGACTAAAAAGCCACTCCAAGACGCCCGTTGGTGCCACAGTCGGACGATCTAAGTGTGTTACAACAGAAGAGCCAAAACCACTGCAGGCGTGCAGGCGCGCAAAGGGAGAGAGGGACAAGCAAACGAAGAGCAACTTGGTTTTTCCCGAATAAACGAATAATCGGCTGCGCTAAGAGCTAACAGTGGCGATGATTTAAGATGACCTCGAAACAAACAACATGGCCCAAATTAGAGAACTATGTATGGCGCGGTTACCGCATAACAGTCCAAATCAAGGAACTATATACCGAGGGGGACTATGTCTTGAAGGAATCGATCGCCGGGTAGTAAGCGGGAGACGGAGCTGGAGCTAATTCGATGCGAAGGAAGGACACGCGATGTTCGAGCCAGAAAGACATAGACAGAGACTATCTGGATTTACCTGGAATGCCTAAGGTCGGGAGGAAGATGATTAGTCTTTTAGTTCTGGGGGGTCCCGCGTCTAAAGACGGGATAGAGAATTCGAAATTTGTAAATGCCGCCCATTGCGGTAAATTGCCCATGGAACGGAAGGCGCTCTTTTAAGGAGCCCAGTACCTACACACCTAGCAGCCCTTCCTCGTAGGTGGCTACATAGTACGTACAATACATAGGTACTGGTAGTTACCTTAACGAAGCTAGCGCG